TCAATAGCTTTCTACATTCTCGTTTTGTATGACCAGGCTTATGGCAATAATTGCAAAAAATAATATCTCCTGAATTTGATTTTGGAGCACTAGAATTTCAACATTGAGCGTTCGAAGTCGTGGAATTCCCTTGGTAGGTATTACCACTGTTTCCATTTGTACTACATCCAACCAAAGCACTATTAAACTGAGATGAAAAGACGGGTTGTGACTTCTCAACTCGAAGTACTTGAGTATATGCCTCCTCTAAAGCTGGAATTTCCAAACTAGAGAGTAATTGGTCTTTGGCCACATCAAATCTAAGTGGAAGACCAAGAAGAAAACTGAATACTGCTAGTTGTTCGCGTTGGGCAAGCCGAACTTTTGCATCATTACTATATGGGAGTAATGCATAAATTCGTTTATGTTCCATAAAGTAATTTGTAAGAGATTGGTCACCAAACTCAGGTTGGTAGAAGCGCTTGCAGATTTCAAATATTCGACTAACATTCCTTTTCCAGAATAAAGGAATTCTAAATATTTAAGCAACTCTTTAACCTACTCACATTCATTGACCGCAATAATCACTCTCGATCGAACTCTTGATTTGCAGAACCAGTCGAGCATCATCCCGCAACCAAGTTTTCTTGCTCTCATCCTTAGGTGGATCCTCAGTTATATGATCGTCCATATCAATACTTCGCAAAAAAAGACGAACATTAATTTTCCTTGAAGAATAGTTTGATCCATTCAACTTGTGTTCTGTGACTTTTGATATCATTGAGATCACCTCAGAAGTTACGATTGATTTCTTCTTAACCATAACAAACAAACGAACTTATTTGAACAAAACGATAGAACCAGACCAAACCACCCGAACCAAACAAAACAGATGAATCAAACTGCTGGAACCAAACCGGATTAGGTGTTTTCTGAAACCAGAAACCTTAAGTGCTACCCCACGACAACCAGAGGGGGAAGGCGACGGGTGGCGACTGGCGGTGACGAAAGCACACGGCACCGGCAACAGCGATTGGCGGCGAGACGAAACCCATGAACTGCAATCGGAAAACAGTAGCGCTGGCGAATCAGCAAACGGCGACAGCAGGCGGCGGTAGTAGTGAGTTGAGTTGGATAGCAATGAACAAAACCCTAATGGGCACAAAACCATAATGGGCATCAAAACCCTAATGAGCACAAAAATTTTAGAAGAAACCTAGAGCTCTTATACCATGTACAGACTAAGGTTGGAGAGAATCCAATATGATGTATTCTCATTATTAAAGTCTATATATATATAGACAAATATACAAGGTTGACCTAATCCTATAAGGAAAAGGTAAAGTATAGTAATATCTATACTCTCACAGTAACAATTTAGTCTCTAAACTTTAGTTTGTAATGATTTAGTCCCTGTACTTTCGAATTGATAACAATTTAGTCTCCGAACTGTAATATATAATTTAAAGCTTGTAACGATTTAGTCCTTATCGTGAATTTTTTTTTGTTAAGATTCTTATATATATAGATTGATAAACCAATGAAGAACCAAATATGTTTATATATTATAAAGATTAAATTGTTATATGATAAAATTCGACACTTTAATAAAATCTTTCACAAGAGGGACTAAATTGTTACAATTTTTAAATTATAGAGACTAAATTGTTACAAACTAAAGTTCAAGAACTAAATCATTACTTTAGTGAAAGTACAGGGACTAAATCGTTACAAACTAAAGCTTAAGGACTAAATCGTAACTTTAGTGAAAGTACAAGGACCAAATGTGTTTTTTAACCTAAATTAACACAGTGGTAGACTAACTAATTAACAGCAATATCAATAAAACTAGCTACTAACATGTAAATAAAATATTAACCTAGATCAACCTACATTTATTGATGTTGCTATCTTGTCAATGGAAAATTGAATAAGATGAACTGCCATAATATACATAAATAGATTAAGATTTAGACAATAAAGAAGGCAATGAGAGTCATACTGGAAGTTTCAAAATTTGGCATAATTGTGAAACTTCAGGCTTCAAAATACGATGAAGACTCTTCCGTAGATCAATCAGCTTTGTTATTCCATCAGATCCAACAGACTTGTATTCAAGAATTTTCAAGCTATCATTAGCCATCAAAGATGTGGATGATAGTTGATTCTCAATGTATGGATCATCCTCACAAGCAGCTGAACTATTAGAGGTTTGACATGTATGTTTTGGAGCTCCAGAAGGACCTACACCCAAAGAAAGATGTTAAAGAATGATGGAGATAGGAATGTATGGATGCTGTAAAATTTTCTTTTCTATCACTCAGACAACAAAATAAGGCCGCAAAGCAGAGGCTAGAAAGTATATGCAGAAATGATTTTAAGATTGCAGATACTTGTACCTTCCTTTTCCGTATTGATAAAATTTCCATCTTGTGCAACTTTTACATTGCTATTTGACATCTTCTTACGTTTCCTCGCAGATTCCACAAGCTCAAGTTCAGGTTTCTGTGATGAATCATCAGAATGTTGAACCCTTTTCCGGTTCCTCAGAGATCTATCAGAAGTATATTTCCATTTCGGGCACTTTCCATCTAACAGCTTGGTCCAAAATATGAGGGGATGCATTTCTTCCGTTGATGGCATTTTTAGTTGACCAAGAAGTGGGGAGTGTGCAGAATAGACTCCTTCAACTTGTTGAACTTTTAATATAACACGGGAATCATACTTGTTCGTGCTACCAGCATTTTGTGACATAAGTAATATTAAATCATGGACCACCTCTTTCAAAAGTGTTGTATCTGTCAAGGAATCAGCAGTTTTTTCTTTGTCATGGAACTTCTCTAAGTTAGCGAATAAATCAGATGCTCCCCACATAAGCAGCATATTGGCATGACTCCAGCTGACGTTCTGTAAATTGCCATCCAAATTTCTATTTTGCAAGGACAGCATAAGAACCTTTTCGTCCACAGTACAAGATGAATATAAACGAAAAATTTTTATCTGCTCCAACTGAGAATCAAGGGTTATCCTCTGAAGGGCTCTTAAATCATTCATTGGGGTCCAGTCACTATCATAAATGACAATGCTATCCACTGATGAAAGTTTAATACTGGGGAGGCATGCACGAACTTCTAACAGAAACAAAAATCTTCCACTCTCTAGGTTGTTAAATTTGTTTAGAGCAGCTTGTTTCTTGGAATAAATAAGACCCCCATCAATACGTTCATAAGAATCGGGCCCAAACCTCTGACGCAAAAAATCATCCAAAATATCTCCAATGGAGTCCCTTCCAGAACCACTGATTGACTGCAATTGAAAATTTTCACATAAAATTCCCTCACAGGAATATAAAATGCATTTTACCATTTCATAGATGCAAAGATAAAATTACAGCGGGAGGGAGGGAGAGCAATAGCTTAAAACAAAAATAATGATTTAAACACATGATTTTAGACCATGACAAAAGTAATGAATTCATTCCATATAATAAAATTGTATCCATCTTGTTCAGTAAAATGCTAAAAAATGTGGTGTATTAAGCTCCAATTGTAAATTTGACCTGAAAATTAGACGTTCAACTTCCAAAGACCAAGAAGTCTTTTAATGAGCCATATTTTCTAACCATGCAGTAGTCTAAGAGTCTGTAATCACCTAAATTAAGAAAATTTGTAATTGATGGAAACAATAAAAAATCAGTAGGGCAGAAGGAGAGAAATAATACTTTTTCAACTATCTTGTACTGTTCAAGCAGAATTATGACTCTTAAAAGTATACCACGGACACTGCCGACAAGGTAACAAAGGACTCAGTAACAGTTACAGAAACCGTTTGACAACTAGTCTAGTGGCTGAATTACCCCATTATATCAGCGTTCTGCATAAAAAGAAAAACTTTATAGCAAGCTTGATCACACAGTGAATCTATCTGGGGTATGGATGCTCTTAGGTCTTCTGGCAAGTATTAGTATCTGGCTTCATGCCATACAGAAAGCCTTTTGGGGGAGAGTTGGAAGATCTTGCAAGCTTATCCCACAGAACTTGGGGAAGGTGTCATTAATGTGATGAGATGGAGTTATGAGAGGAACATTGGAGGCTATATTACTAGAAGCGTGTGCAAATTCAACAAGGTAAGTGATGTGTTAAACCTGATCAAAGTTCCCTTGAATAACAAGAAGTTTTACTTCATCAAGCCTCAAAGAAACAACCACCGTTTCTTGCATTGAAAAATACCCAGTCTCTCGTAAACAAGCCTCCTTTTCCCTAGAAGAGAAGGTCTATGGGCTCCCCTATGGCTACTTCTAACCATTTTTCCCTTCATATGGATCCCAACTGTTAGAAATTACCCACTATTAGAAATTACCTTAACTTTTTTACTATTATATATTAGTTGAAAATTCTTAATTAAAATTTTAGGAGATAGACAACTTACCTTCTCTAGCTGATTCTTTCCATCTTTTATATCATTGTATAATGTATACATAGAGTATTCTATTGAAAACTCAATACAATTGAATTCACTATTCACCAAATTACATGGTATCGGAGCAAGGAAACCCTAGTTCTTCTAAAAACCCTAAATTTTCAGAAACCCTAGTCACCGCCAATCTCTAGACGTTGCTGGATCTCACTGCATCTTTAGACTCGCCTTTGATTGATGCATCCTACCTAGCATAGCAATTCTCTTTGTTTTGGCCGATGAAGATGTTGTTGGTCGCTTGTTCCCATAACATCGCAATTTTTGTTTGTGTCTGCCATTTTTGTGCTTTCATGGTTGATCGATTTCTTTGCTATCAATCGATCACTTCTGTCACCTTGGATCGCATCTGCCGCACTGGTGAATTCGTGTTCGTGTCCAATCTCGTCAACCATTTGCTGATTCACATTGTTCGCCGTTTGCCTATTTTTTTGCTTGCATCGTTGTTTCAGCTTGTTGTTGGTTTTCCTTTTGGTGTTGCATCTAGAAATTTTTGGTTTTGAAGTTCCTGACCTTCATCTTCGTGACCATGTCCAAGAGCATTGAGTCATCAAAGACCAATGAAAATACTGGAGCTGTAACGATTGTTCCTAACAATCCCAGAGATATACAAAATATTTAACCTAGGTACCGTTTGGATGGAAAAAATTACTTGAAACAGTCTCAATTTTTCAGGACTTTTCTAAAAATGGAAAAGGAAAAATCAGCCACATTATGGAAACTAGACGAAGAGTGGGGACCCGAAATTTAAGGCATGCGATGAAGCTAATTCTACGATAATGTCATGGTTATAGAGTTCAATGGTTCCCAGATGTATTTTCTTAACTTTAGCCATGGAAATTTGGGACATGATTACGCAACCCTACTCCCAGGCACAAGATGCAGCCCAAATCTATGACATGCAAAAATAGGCCCTTGAAAGAGAGAGAGAGAGCCAAAGACGTCAGGTAAAGGGTTACGTGATCAAAGAAGTTGTATAATAAATGTACAGATGTGGTTACATTTAGAAGTTTGGTGTAAAACCAAGTGAGAGTTTTCTATTTCACTTTTGAATAATTCCTTCGAATACAACAAGGGTTGGTTTTTATAGATAACCAACCTAACTAACTAACCAACGGCTAAATGAAAGACACCAATGGCTAACTAAAAGACCTACTAACCAACGACTATTTTACAATATCTCCTACATCATATTCCCTCCGTCTCAAAGGAAAGCTCGACCACTAGTTTATGTGGCTAATTGGAAAGCATCTACAGCATGATATTCATGTAGGTCTAATACATTAAATATGGGATTGATGCGTAGATCAGTGGGAAGGTTGATCTTATAAGCATTGTCACCATATTTCTCCAGAATTTCAAAAGGGCAGATCTTTTTGTTGAGTAGTTTGCGATATGTTCCTGTCGGAAATCTGGACTTTCGTAGGTAGACCATCACTAGATCGCCTATTTTGAAATGTTTCTCCCGACGATGGCTATCCGCATTTGCCTTATAGGTTGCCGTAGCATTCATCAAATTCTCTATGACCTCCTTATGTAGTTCCACTATCCTTTCGGCCATGTGCTCAGCTTCCTGATTAAAATCAACATTAGAAGGGATATTAGCTAAGTCCACAGTAAGGCGGGGAAGTTTAGTATATACTACTTCAAAGGGGGACTCGATTTTTCATATGGTTGTAGGCAAATTCAGCCTGCACGATTGTAAGGTCCCATTGCTTCGGTTTAGTTCCACCAAGGCATTGTATAAGGTTCCCCAATGTTCGGTTAGTGACCTCGGTTTGGCCGTCGGTTTGTGGGTGGCTGGTCGTGCTAAATTTTAACCCTGTATCAAATTTCTTCCACAAAGTTTTCCAAAAATAGCTCAAAAATTTCACATCTCTGTCAGAAACTATTGTTTTCAGAATGCCATGTAGGCGCACAATCTCACGAAGAAAAGATTGGCCACATAAATGGCATCCGATGTTTTTTTGCAAGGTAAGAAGTGGGACATTTTGCTAAATCTGTCCACCACAACTAGAACCGAATCATAACCACGTTGAGTCTTTGGTAATCCAAGGACAAAGTCCATAGAGAAATCTTCCCAAATAGACCGAGGGATTGGGAGTGGGGAGTATAACCCGGTATTTTGTGCTTGACCTTTAGCTTTCTGACAAGTGAGACACCGGGTAACAAAGTTATATACGTCTTTTTGTCAAGTTTTTCCTCAATCTTGGTAGCCTTTGTTATAGCATCAAAAAGGAATCCAATTGGTTGGATATCCATCTGATCTTGTATATCTTCGTGAAGACCATCAACATACCTGGCAATCTTATAGTCCTATGTTTCGGTCAAGTTGGTTCGTGCTCCCAGACGATGGAATTCCTCAGTATAATCAACAATGTTCTTGGTCCCCTGTCGACATCGCAAATACTGTTGATACAAGAGCTGCTCAAACTTGGTTGGCAGGAAGCGTTCGCGTATTAACTGAAGCATGTGCGGCCAACTGCGAATAGGATGTTTGCCCTGCCGTCGGCAATCAACCTCTAGTTGATCCCACCAGGCAGAGATGCCAGATTTTAGTTTGAAGGCAACCAACCGAACTTTCTTATCCTCCGGGGTATTGGTATATTAAAAAAAAATTTCTATGTTCTTGACCCAATCCAAGAATGCTTCAACGTCCATTTTCCCATTAAAGGTTGGAAGGTCAATTTTCATCCGAATGTCGGTGCGAACACCCCCTCCATTATGAAATCCAAAACGATCGAAGCGCTGGTTCCCCCGAAGAAAGTCCTCCTCTTCCCCTGAAAAATCTGAATCTTGGATCCTCAGTTAGAGTTCTTGCTGTCGTCGGTCCTGTCTGTCGATATTTCTTGCAATAACGGGAGTGGGTGATCGGTTTCTTGGCTAGTATGCATGTGCTTGTTCCCGGCGACTACCGCGATTGCCCAGATCATCCCATAGCCGCTCTTGCTCAAGTGCTATATTTTCCAGATGCTTGGACAGGTTTTCCATAAGCCCGTGGTTCGTCTGTACACTGGAGCGAACCTCTCCCAAGGAATCTTCCACTAACAGTAAACGATCGGTGGTGGATTTTGGTGACAGAGGTTGGTGTGCCAAAGGATCCACTGTGGTTCCTTTGTCGGAAGTCGTTGTGTTCTTCCCGGCCATCAGGTCCTAAGTTTCGAAAAAGGGCTCCAATACCAATTTGGTGTAAAACCAAGTGAGAGTTTTCTATTTCAGTTTTGAATAATTCCTTCGAATACAACAAGGGTTGGTTTTTATAGATAAGCAACCTAACTAACTAACTAACCAACGGCTAAATGAAAGACACCAACGGCTAACTAAAAGACCTACTAACCAATGGCTATTTTACAATATCTCCTACATCAAAGTTGTTTAATAAATGTATAGATGTGGGTCAACTAAAGAAAGAGGATGATCATAATACCAAAAAAATTAATTAATCACATCAAGAAATGGAAGCCCACATATATATATATGTACACACACATACATATTTGGAAAGGAATCAAAATTTTATTTCCACCAAAGAGGCCTAAGATTACTCTTAGAAGGCATCAATTTTATACCAATTTGAGAATTCTCTGAGCAGGATGCAAAAGACTACCATGTTTGACAATAATTTTTGTAGCTACCTCTGCATTCATGTGCCATAGGCGAGATCGTTGCATGGTTGGCCTTCTCTAAAAAATGTGCCAAAGGAGAGTGGAGAGTATGGAAAGTATCTTCCCTGACCTTTATTAATCTCAATGACAAGCACACACCTTACTTTATTTTCCACCCATCATATTCGTGAGCCTAAGGCCACTTTAACTATAATTCTCATGGAGTAGTTTAGATAAGCGAAAAAATATAAAGAAAAAATAAGTATGAGTGGTTCAAATAACAATCCAAAACAAAGAGTTCATTACATCTAGATTTGAATACGGCCACCATCTGCTCCATAAATGTTAAAAATAATTGCCCACTTATCTTCATGCACTGGATAAGTCATTTGAATACAAATTCCCTCGTGTCCCTATAAACACCAGCCAAGTCTGGCCTAACCCCATGCTATTTTCCCTTTGAGCAGGAAGGTTGGGTCTAGGAAATCTAAGGCTTTGAAATGAGGCATTTTTGGGCAAATCACTATGGCGGTTAATTTATGGTCCTCACGCATATAGTGGATTACAAGTCATGGGATTAAAGGCACTTCCATAAGTACTTCGAAAATTATTCCATTAACTATCTAAAGTGTTTGGTTGTAGTTGGCTCAAATATTTATTTTTGGTAAGACTGCTGGTTGGGTGATAGACCTCTTATGTTTCCCTGCCTCTATCATCTTTCCTCTTTGAAGTGTCGACCCAATTCTTTTGTCATTTTCTCCATGAATCCACCTCACTTAATCTTGATTTTTGTCGACCTTTGTCTGATAGGAAATCCACGAACTTAGTTGTGCTAATTTTTTCATTGAGTAATGTCCACTTTTGTTTGGGTGCAGGGACTTTTGGGTTCGGTCTCCTAATCCTTCTAAAGGGTTCTCCTGTCGTTCTTTCGTTAGTCTTGTGTAGCCTCGATCCTGACTCCTCTTTATTCTCCTCGTTATGAGACGATATTATTTCTCAGAAATTCAAATTCTTTGTTGGGCAAGTTTTACATGGGGTGTTAACACTATGGATTGAATTCAGAGGTATCCTGTGATCTTGTTGGGGCCACAATGGTGATCCTCGCTAGGAAGACGTCCGAGGATTTGAACCACACATCCGTTAGAGTTGTCAATTCACTTGCTTGATTTGGGATCACTTCTTTGAGAATTTTGGAGTCAGTTGGGCACGTAACAAGGACTGTTGCCTCTGCCTCGAGGAGGTTTGTTTCATTCTCAATTCAGGGAAAAGCAAAGTCCTTTGAATTGCGGGCTGTTTTACAATGTTATAGTATATCTAGATCAAGAGCAATAATAGAATATTTAGGGGGGGAGGTCTTGAGAGAGAGATAAAATTCAACCATAGGAGTTACCTGGAAAAGAATTAGCACCCTTAAACCCTTTTTCTTCATTTCCATTAGCATTGCATCAAGAAGTTGTAGCTTGCCACTTGCTTTTATTCCAATATTCAAATACTCCACTTCTGGATGCCCCTTGGTGATTATGTGTGCCATTGAAGGATCCGCAATATATGGATGGTTACAACACTGCCACGATACCATACACGACATTAGAGCCATTTCTCCCTTTCTCATCAGAAAGATCAATGGGAATTAACAGATTCGAACCTAAAACACAAACAAGTATGGAGTTTTTCACAGTCCATTTAGTAAATCATGAAAATCTGAGAAAACTTTTAAATGAAAACAACTTAAATTCTTATATCATATTAAGATAAAATAGAAGAATGGAAAAAATTAATGGGGCATTTAGACAGAAAGAATCAACCTATCTTTTAAGACAAACAAGTATTTTTGGAGGGAAAATTTGCAACGATAGAACTTTCTGCAGCATCATAGCTTTGTTGATCTAAAGACATCAGAAGTTACTCTATAAAATTCAATATTTATTGTTAGGATGTATCTTTGTATTTACTTTAAAGGTTTTAATTTTTTGAACAAGATACCAACCTTTTTATTGATATATGATAAGGAACAAAAATTTTCAAAGGATACAATCACCAAAAGGAGTGAAAAGAGGAAAATAACATCCCAATCAGAACAAATATGATTCAATGATTAGATAGCAAACAAACTAGAGAGGGAACACCATCTAGAAGCTTTAGACTTAACCAAATCAAACAGCTCAACCCAATATCTCAACTTGATATAAAAAATTCTTTGATTGCACTCAAACCATAACATTAAAATGATTACTTTCGCCTGCATAACCCATAGAAGATGCAGTCTTGCGAGCAAAACAGGCTCAAAATATTGAGGCCACCTAAGAAGCACGGACATGACACGACACGAACACGGTGACATGCCAATTTCATAAAATGTAGGACATGGACATGTTGGGGACACAAAAAAAGATAATGTATATATTTATTGTTGCAGTAATTCCAAATAAATTAACCATACAAATATGATTTATAATAAATATAGATAAAAGAAAAAAAATACTTCAAGCATAAAAATATTACAAAACTATTTATTGTTTATAAAAAACAACTTAAGAACTTATGTAATTTAGAAAAAGTTGAGATATAAAGGCAGATTGGTTTGGATCCCATTAAAATGTGTAATTCGTACATTTTTATTTATGGGAGGAATTAGAATATCGCTGTCAGCTTTATGAACCTAGAAACTATCTCTTAAGAGGTAGACTACCATTTGGCAGCTTCATACAACTAGCAATAACTGCACTTTTCTTTTTTATACTTCCTTCTTTTCTGTCTTTTCTTTTCCTCCTTCAAAACTCTTCTTCTTCTCCTCTTCAATATTTTAAAAGGCTTTTAGGCTTACATCCAAAGGTATGTATGCTCTGTTCTCTCTCCTATCTTGAACACCATAAACATTGACAAAGTCATCTTTATATTCTTGATACAAGACTTTGAATTTCTAAAAATATTTGGCCCGAATATTGCTTTGAATTTCAGCGATCTCTCTATCCCGTTAAGCTTGTAACTCCATCTTTCTTCTAGAGTGCGCTTCTAAACAAATAGCCCGCTCTTTGCGAATTTTGACAAGCTCAAAATTAAGAGAGGATAACTAAGAATCCAATTGAGCAAAAGATCAGCTAGAAATGTACTTGAACGATGGAACAATGTTGATGTAACCAAGAATGTCTGTGTTAGTTAGTTGGTTAGTTAGAACATATTTAGTTATAAAGTTTCTTAAGACTTTAACCATTCTGTTAGGCTATTTTCTCTTCCCTTGTAATTCTGCAGTCTTTCTCCTATAAAAGGAGGCTGCTCTAGTTCATTGAGAGGCATTGATTCATTTAACCAAAAAAACTCTCATTGGTTTACACCAAATTGGTGTCAAAGCACCTTTTGCTCTTGGGATCTGATGGCAACAAAGAAGAACTCAGTCAACATTGGTGATTCTTCTCTTGTTCAAAAAGAGACGGAGCAATCCCTTGTCCTCTCCCCACAATCCACAACCACTTGATTAATGATGGTTGAAGGCACGGTTGAAAACGTCCAAAGGAATGTGGTGGAGATTCAGCAACTTCTACGTAAGGTAATGACACAATTAGATGACATGAACTTGCATCAAAATTTCGGTAGAATGAATCAAGAAGCACAGCATAGGGGACAAGCAAACAAAAATGATCAAGATTATATACAACCAGCTCCAATATTGTTGCAAGAACCCATCCAAGCTCCAAGAATGCTGCAAGAAACCATTCCAGTGCCAAGAAGGCCGCAAGATTTTTGTGGTTTTCAAGCTAATCACGATAGAAACCTCGTTGCCCATCGCTGAAGAGAAATTTTGGTGGACTCGTCTCAAATTGAGGCAATTCAACAAGAAGACGAGTCTTTTCTTAAGTTTGTGGGGAAGAAGAGGTTGATAAAGAATTGATGGGAAAAAATGATGATTCTACTTTTTATTTGGCTACATTGTTCTTTGAAGTTGAAATGCAAGATGTTAATGGGCACAAGAATCGACAAGAATCTTTATTGAGACGTTTGGATCAAGAAATCCACAAGAATGGTCGATCTCAATTCAATTCACAAGAATTTCGCAAGAATTGTCAAAATGAGCCAACCGTAAGGGAGAATTTTTTACTAGCCTCTAATTTCCAAGGAAAACTCTCCAAGGATAAGTTCAAATGACATAGAAAATGAATTTCTTTTGAGTTTTGCTGATTATTTTCATGAAGGAGATGAAATTCTATTTTGTTTGGAGAAACTTTTCACTAATGTTGTAGAATTTGATATAGATCCTAAAGAAATTCGTGTGGCTAGAGTTGAGAAAGGTTTGGTTGAAGCTAATATTATTGAAGTTGGACAAACCGGAGAAAGTTAAATTTACCAACCTCAAGAATTCGAATCTGATTTGCAGCATGAAGGTCATCCTGTGATTGAATTAGAATTAATTTCTTTGGAGAACCAAGATTTTGTTAGAGAAAAATTGGATTCTTTACAAATTAGTAATATTACCGGTGGAAGTGAAGAGGTCGAGGAATTCAGAATTTTTCATCCATCAGAATAATTTCAGATGGAGCCGACATCCATTTTAGATTTGGATATTTTGTTTACTAGACAAAAAGAATTAATTGCCCATAAAATTATTTGCAGATATTTCGGCATTATTTTCATGGAAGAAATTTTGGGTCGACAACTAAATTCCTTCTGTGATTTTGCACTCAGTCGAATGCTTGACACACTACTTTATTGGTGTCTTGACGAATTGAAGACAATATTTTCAATTGGAGTATTTTTGAATCACAAGAAGAAACAAATTTCTATTTTGAAGATTGTTCATGGCCTTCAAAGTCCACTGCTTTTAAACTCGAGGACGAGTTTTGTTTTAAGAGGGAAGGAAACTGATGTAACCAAGAACGTCTGTGTTAGATAGTTGGTTAGTTAGAACATCTTTAGTTATAAAGTTTGTTAGGCTTTAACCATTCTGTTAAGCTATTTTCTTTTCCCTTGTAATACTGCAGCCTTTCTCCTACAAAAGGAGGCTGCTCTAGTTCATTGAGAGGCATCGATCCATTTAACAAAAATACTCTCTCATTGGTTTACACCAAATGTCTTCCTTAGAAACTTTGGAATCCATGATGCCAAGGAAAAAGCCTCCCAATTAAACAATGAGATGCTTCAACTTTAAAGACAAACCAACAAATGGAACCCCTTTTTTTGTTTTGTTTCTTTTGTTTCCTTTTCTCTCCCTTTGGGTGATTGTATCCTTTTGAACAATTTTGTTCCTTTCCATTAATAATTGAGAAGTTCGCATCTTGTTAAAAACAAATGAAAGTTGTTTTCCCATCAAACAAAAACAGAAAATAAAAGCCAACCTGCAACACAAACAAATAAAATAACTACTTATAATGACATATAGTTGATTTTTTAAAATTAATTTTGGTTATCGTCTCTTCTCACAAATGCGATCGAGGAATAGATCAGTCAGAATTGAAAACAAGACCTTTGGTTGCGGTCTTGACCCGAAGAAAAGAGGGTGGTTTCTCAGTATAACGGAAAAACATTGTAAGAGATTCTTCTCTATCTCAATCGAAGAAGTGGTAGCTGTTTGGATCGTGGATAACCTTCAGGACTTGCTCTTTTCTCTGCAGACTCATAAGTTCTTTCGGAAGGTACACTACAATGGTGGCTTCATCTAGCACCAAAAGATCTCAAATAGAAGAGGTTGTTTTGTGGAAATAACGAAAGTGCAAGTAAATGGAGGAAAGAGAAATTTGGTTGTTCCTTCGGACGAAGATTTCAAAGGCTGGATAGCTTTTAGGGAAATGCTTATAAGTTTTATGAACCCGGTGGAGGAGGATAAGTAGATACAGAGCCTCAAGAATGTGAAATCTTATGCAGAGGTTCTCAGAGACAAAGAAGAAACGACTGTAACGGGTAAAAGCGTGGGAAAGGTTGAGACAACAGAAAAAGGAGAAGACGGAGAAGTCAGAGCTTTAAACTGGGAAGAAACTATAGTAGTGACACGATGAGATTTCCATGACGACTGGGGTCAGATTCTATAAATTTTACAGAATCAATTAGAAGAAAGATTCATCATCAATGCTTTTCAACCAGACAAAGCTCTTTTAATGTGCAAATCAAGCGAGCTAGCGAGACTTCTAGCTTTGAATAAAGGTTGGGTTACCTTTGGACCCCTTACTCTGAAAATGGAGAGATGGAACGCTAAAAAACATGGCAGCATTAATGTAGTTCCTTCTTACGGCGGATAAGTCAAAATCAGGAACATTCCTCTGCATTTATGGAGCCTAGCGACTTTCAAAGCAGTGGGAGATTGTTTAAGTGGCTTCATTGAATATGTAAGTAAAAATGTCATGCTTACTGATTGTGTTGAAGCGGTCATTAAGATAAAAGGTAACAACTGTGGCTTTATTCCTGCTGATGTTAAACTCATTGACAAAGATCAAAATTTTTGTAGCTCAGGTTAGCACCTTCCAAGATGCGGATTTGCTGATTAGCAATGTTGCCAGAGTCCATGGTTCATTCTTGCCGGAGTCGGCGGCGGCTTTCTACAGTGAAGGGGCGGCGTAAGGGTTTGTCCGGTGGATCTCT